TCTATCTATCTATCTATCTATCTATCTATCTATCTATCTATCTATCTATCTATACACATATACATAGATGGATAGCTAGATTCTACACATATACATATAGGTATATAGATAGGAAGGCGGTATATCAAAATACCAGAAAACAGATCAGTTCAACTGCTCTCACTAGTTTAAATAAGGGGGAAATGATCGGATATTACCCCCCCTCCCCCGCTAACTGCGCTGCTGTATTTCCAGACGTGGACTTCGTCACCCCCCTGTGCTCACAGGTGGTCTACGAGGGCCTGGTGGACGACATCTTCCGGATCAAATGCGGTGGGTGTTGGCCAGATGAGGATGTAGTAAAAGCTTTGAGATGCGATTGGAAAAGATGGGACACAAAGATGCTCCCCTCAGATCCTCTTTGCCATCTGACATCCCAAATACCGACTCTCTACCTCTTCTCTAAACAAAACTCAAAACCCTCCCGTTTAAAATTTCTTACCCACTTCACCCTAACTCTAACATTCCCCTCATTCTGCACAGTTTTATTAATTTAATTTTAATTTAATTAATTTATGATGTTTTTATTTATGATGCATTTATGACTTTGTATGTTTTCTTATGTTTAAATTTTGTTTTAATGATGATCGTCTTTGTAAAGTGTCCTTGAGAAGGCGCTTTTTATAAATAACATTTATTAATATTATTATTATTATGAGCTGGACTGAGACAAAAAACAGGTCTTCAGGCTCTTTTTTTTCATCCAGGTGACATCAAATTCACCGTAATGATGTTTCTGTTGTTATTTTATTGTTTCAGTTTGATTTTCTTCTCAGTTTTCGGCACGTTTTTCAGTACCTGCCGTTTCTAAAATGCTTCATACACAAAATCTGAACAAGATTTAAACGCCAACTGGTGCTAAACCCACAGCCCAGTCCCTGAGATGGGACAGTCACCACTAAATGATAGTTTTAAAATCCACCGGAGACCAAAACACAGCCTGTTAAATGGGACTGGACTCTTTGCTTTCTTTTTTCTTTTTCTTTTCTTGAATCTTTTCTTTTTCTTTAGCTGAAATCCTACTCAGTCGTTCAGTTTTGATTTGTTTTAGCTGGTTTCCAGCCTCAAATGGCTGCAAACTGTCCGACAGCATCGGCATACGGACAGAATTTGAGCTTAAGGGGTGGAAGATAGCAAAGACTGCTGGTTTTTGATGCCTCAAACAAAAAAAAATCAGCTTTTGGGTTTTATTTGAGGGCCCTAACGAGGCGATGTGAGCTGTGTCCCCTCCCTCTGTCCTGCAGGATGTGTGGAGTTCGGACCCGAGGTCACCTCCTCCGACAAGAGCCTCAAAGTGATGCTGAACTCCCAGGATAAGGTAGGCCCCGCCCCTCACGGCCTCCAGCCGGCCGGCTGAGCCCCCCCCTGGCCTCACTGGGTTTTTGTGGGGGCCCCCCAGGTCTTCGGCGAGATCCGGAACGAGCATTTCTCCAACGTCTTTGGGTTCCTCAGCCAGAAAGCCCGAAACCTCCAGACGGCGTACGATGTGAGTAAAGCCCCCCCGACCCCCCCTCTGTTTGGTGGCCTGTAGCCCAGGGTTACAGCGCTCTGCCCCCCCCCCCCTGCAGAAGCGGAGGGGGATGGACATACAGCAGATGAAGGCGTTCGTGTCGGAGGAGCTGAAGGGCCTGAAGCAGGAGCACCGGCTGCTCAGCCTCCGTGAGTCCCGCCGCCGTCGCCATGGCGACCGTACGCCGCCGCCGTCGCCATGGCGCCCTCCAGGTCTCCAAACCTGCTCCCTGTCTTTCAGACATCGGCGCCAGCGAGTCCATGATGAAGAAGAAGACCAAGCAGGACTTCCAGGAGCTGCTGAAGACGGAGCACTGTGAGAAGGAGCTTCTTCTTCTTCTTCTTCTTCTTTCTTTTTTGTTCGAACTGAAGATCTCGACTTAGTTTCTTCTGTTTCCTCAGCTTTACTTGAAGGATTCGAAATCCGCGAGTGCATTTCTTTCATAGAGGAGCACATCAACAGACAGGTGGGTTTTTCAGAGTCCCAAAGCAGCAACTAGTGAGGAAAAGCAGCTGAATTTTGTTTTGCTTTTGCTTCTTCTCTCTGTAGGTCTCCATGATAGAAAGCCTGAGGCTGCTTTGTCTCCTGTCCATTACTGAAAACGGTATTTTTTCTTTTTTTTTTCGTCTATCAGCAAAAGTAACAAAAAATATTTGTGCCTTCACAAATCTGTGATTTCATGTTCTCACAGGACTTTTGCCAAAAGATTACCGGTCCTTAAAAGCACAGTTTCTGCAGGTGAGCTCCGAAAAATCAGTAGTTTTTGTGGTGAGCGATCCAGAAATGAGTGAAAAAAAGTTCATTTTAAGAGTTCAGAGTTCATATTTCTTCATTGGAAAAGATAAATAGCATGTTTCCTATTGCCTGACTTATCTTAAAGCGTAAACACAAACTTTTTTTCTTCCTTAATCTGCTGAATACTTCAGCAAGTAACAGGTTTCTTTTAAACTCTGGCTGGAACACGGCGGCCATCTTGAAAGTGGCCATATTGGCAAATTTTTCCAACGGGAAAGCAGTCATGTAGCATATCAAAGGAGACCAGAATTGACTCAGAAATTGATTACTGCAGTCAGATTTGGGATATCTCTTGTGGTCGACACAGAAAGCTGGGAAATTTGGCCAAAGTCTCGAATCCACCGGTGTATTGGGATATGTCTTTTTCCCTTTTGTTCTGAAATAAAAAGGTGTCCTGTGACTTTAAATTTAACATACACAGGATAGTACAACAGAAAGTGTCTTCAGGATCTCTGATTAAAGCGGAAAACTCTGTCCTGGCCTGGTTTGGTCTCCTGTTTCCTGGTGTAACCGGCATCCTCCTCCCTGCCCGCCCTCCTCAGAGCTATGGGATGGACCACCTCCTCACGTTTGCCAACCTGAAGCAGCTGGGGCTGCTGGTGGAGCAGCAGCCCGGGGACACCCTCACGGCCATGGAGAGCAAAGTGGGCAAACTGGTGAACGACAGAGCTGCAGGTGAGCCGCCGGACAGACGTCCGTCTGGAAAGACCGATTCGATTCCTGACCTTTGACCTCCGTGTGGTTTTGCAGGAAAACTGACTGATGCTTTTTCCTCTCTGGCAAAGAAGAGCAACTTCAGAGCTCTGAGCCGAAAGCTTAATCTGGTAAATGCTGCTTGCTGGAGCTTTTTGAATGAAACAATCGTGGTGAAAATTTCGTTTATTTGTCCGTACCGCCTTAAAAAGAAGCCTGTTATTAAGTTTAAGGTTGTGTTTGAAGGTGCCAAAGTCTGATGAGGAGTACGACCTGCGCGTCCCCAGGGACATGGCCTACATCTTCAGTGGTGCTTACATCCCTCTGAGCTGCAAACTCATAGAGCAGGCGAGTCCATCGGCTCCTCTCTGCCTCCGGAGGCAGCCACCAAACTCCAGCTTAACGCTGGCTTTTTTTTGTAGGTGCTGGAGCGGGGGGGCTGGACGGGGCTGGAGGAAGTCACCAGACTCCTAAACGGACACGAATTTGCCGTCACAGGTTTGAACGAGAGAAGATTCTATCGGCCCCTCAGAGAAATGAGGAAATCAATTTAGTTTTCTTACCAAAGAACACAGTTCGATTTAGCATATTTTCCCAAAACGGAGATAAATAGAATACAGTAGAACCTGCTTCTGATGCCTAAACATACAAATTTTCCAACATAGGAAGTGAAATTTGATCAAATATTCAACACCCGAAGTCAATTTCCAACATATGACGTCAAAGTCCTAGAAAAAAATAAAAAAAATAATAAAAATTAAATAAAAATAACTAAGCAAAATTTTTGTACAGTTCCAGTAGTGAAAGTTATATTTTTAAAAAATCTGAAAAATAGAAAGAAATACATAAAAGTTCAATCAAAATAACTAGTGTAAGTTGGTGTAAAGTTCCTGTCTAAAGTCAGAGTGAGTTACGGTGGTTCCTGTATCTCAGTCTCCACCTCTACCTCCGTTCATCAGTCTCTGAGCTAAAGGGACAATAAAAACCCTTTTTAGTGATTATTTCTTTATCATTTATTTATTTTTCCATCTCTCTTCTAGAAGTCATTTGTTTTCTTGCTATGTGTAATTATCTGCAGTATTTATTAAGGAGTTATCGTAGGTTTTTGGAACCAATTCTAGGAATTACAGAGTATTCTGATAGAAGATTTGAACCAATATACCAATATTTAACACAGACGTTGGTCCAGGAACCAGTTAGACTCTGTGGAGGCTCTGCTGTAGTCTGAGGCGTGAGCCCCCGTCTGGGTGTTGTGAGTCACTGAGGGCAGATGTGTCCACATCAGGCAGCAGCGGAGCGGAGACGAGGAACGACTCCCAGAGGATCATTCTGGTCATGTTCCTGGGCGGGTGCACCTTCTCTGAGATTTCAGCCCTTCGCTTCCTCGGCAGAGAAAAAGGTGACATGTCTGAACCATCAATTCTGTGATGTGCTGTGTCTGATGTTGTTGCATGTTCTGGGCCCTCTCTGATTTTTCAGTTTTCAGAACAGTTTGATGTTTTTTCTCATGCGTAAATATATTTTCATGGAGCCGTTTGACCAGCAGGTTGCATTAGATACTGTAGGACAAATGCTGAAAAGTATGCAGGTGCAAGCAGGCCATGGAAACGGTTGTTTCCTGTTTAATGCGTGGCTCTAATGTCACCAATACAGTACACACCAAAAGTTTGGACACACCTTCTCATTCAAATAGTTTTATTTATTTTCATGACTATGAAAATTGTGGATTCACAATGAAGGCATCAAAACTATGAATTAACACATGTTGAATTATATACTTAACAAAAAAGTGTGAAACAACTGAAAATATGTGTTTATTCTAGTTTCTTCAAAGTAGCCACCTTTTGCTCTGATCTGGTCTGTACTGATATATATATATATATATGTACCATTTAAACTATTTACTGAAATAGTTTTAATGGCATTTTATAATGTATACCATAACACTGTCTTTACTTTTTTGTTACCACTATCAAGTTGTTCTTAATATAATATTCCTATATAATGACCTTTTAATAGAAGTAGTAATATACTGTATGTAAGGCTGTAAATTTACATTGCTCTTTTGCCTTTTTTAAGTGCATTATTCTGCTGAATTAATTTGTGTGCTGGCTCTTTCCAGGTTATAAGTTTATTGTGGTAACGACGGCCATCACTAACAGCTCCAGACTTCTGGAGGCTCTGCTGGGGAACCAGCTGTGAAGCTGCTGTTTTTGGGACTCTGGATGGAGAAAAGACGCATTCCTGCTGCCATTTGCATTCCTCTCAGCACAGACGGAACTGTTTACCTCGGTCTGTATAAATGTACAAAGCGAATAAATAATGCTTTTTTTTAAACGTGTAGTTTGTCATTCTTTCCATGCAGTAAATCGGACTACTTAAATGAGCTCACCGGTCAAAAATGGACAACGGTCATTTCATTAAGTGTCGGAACGCTGTATCACTCCGCACCCTCCTTGAAGCAGGTGTGCTTGTTTTATGTTACGGCCGGGACGGAGTGACTAGTCGTTGGGCGGATAACAGGTGCTGCGTTGATATAGCAACAGCGGGCTCTATTGGTATAATGCATCACGCGACCCCGCATGGCGAGCCAATCACAGAGCAGGACGCTGTCGCACGCGTATTTTGAACTGTGTAGAAACGGACTAAGCTGAGGGCAGGCGGAGAGGAGACTGTCTGCTGGCTGTCTTTTGAAAGGGTTTCGGTTATTTAAAATTTGCCGCTGCTCTGGGAATTAACCATGAGAAAGAGGTAAGATTCAAGCTGTTTTTCCCCACTTCACACCAAAACCGCAAGTAGAGAAACGTAAATAAAGAGGCTAGTTTTGTACCGCTGAGTGTTAGCTAAACTGAAATAAACGGCTCTCCGTTTAAACTCTGCAACTGTTCGCGTTCTTTTGCTGTTAATACTACAAGTGGCGGGATATTTCTTGACCAACTAGGCGAATGTGTCGGTCATTTTTAGCGAGGTGCTCGCAGCAGAGTCGGTGTCGTGCCTGAATAAAGCGCTGTGCCAGCTCAAGGACATCTGGGAGGAGATTGGCATCCCGGAGGACCAGAGACTGCAGAGAACCAATGTGGTCAAGAACCACATCAAGGTGAGGCCAGACCCCCCCAGAAAGAGGCATCCGGCCGGTTTCTGATGAGCTGATGGCTTGTAAGAAATGTGAAACATGTCTGGGTGTGTTTGTACTGGTGTCAGGGAGCGAGAAGAGCAGGTGGGGGGGGGGGTGGGGGTGGGAGAGAGAGAGAGAATTGCTCATGGAGGAATCTAATCCACATGATCTCTGAGGCCTTGAGTACATGCTAATAATTAGAATACAACAGGAGAATAGACGTAAATGGTCACTTTCAGCCCTTTACAAGCACTGTAGCTCCCTGCTAGATCCATTTTTGTACCAGATACCTACAGAGGATGACAATTTTAACCACAACAGTTAAACTGATCTAATCTGGACATAGTTATTCAAAATGGACTGTAAGTTCCATAATACCTTGTTTGGGACTTGTGAAAGGGTTTTATTATTTGTAAAGGGAAAAAAAAGGAAGATAAAAGCCACCGTGCAACTTTTTTGCATCACTGTCCTGTACAGAAACAGCTCTAGTTAGCCTCCTTAGAAAAACTTAATTTTGTCTATAAAAATGCGAAAAGCTAATCCATGTCAAGGGTGAGTGGCAAAGAAACAATGAAATACTCCCTTTTGCATTTTCAAAAATCAGAAAAAAACTTTCACAAATCCTAAACATGTTATTAATTAAAAATTTGCTTCTTTAGAATAATTACTCTAATATTTGATTAATCTAACTACTATAGTTTTCATACAGGACCTAAACATGTGGGTTAAATATAAAATACAGGCTGAAAGTCTTATATGTGATCGTACTTTGGATCTTTAAATTTTCTTTTTGCCTGCTTTCAGTTGGAAGAGCCATCCGCATTTAGCTAAAAACTGTTATTTAATCAATCCTGTGACATAAATTGAATCTACTAAGCAAAGCCTTTTTGGCCAATTCCAACATGTGTTTGATTTAAACACATGTTGATTGATTTAATTTATCACATTGTTATACAGTATTTCAACTTGTTTTTCTGGTAGATTAGTTCACATATTTTCTGCTCTGCTCATTAGCAACATGCTTTCCTGGAATAAATGGATTACACAACTTGTTTGGAAACTGAATGAATTATCTAAAAGGATCTCCAACAAAGAAAATCTCTAATTTATCATGCATGACCTTTATTTATTTTTGAAATCCTTTATCCAACAGAACCTGCTCGACATGATGATTAAAGAGGAAGAGTCTCTGAAAAAGAGACTAATAAGCAGCATTCAGATATGCAGGACAGAGATGGAGAAACTCTGCTTGGAGCTCCACTTTCCTATTTTTGAGGTGAATGCTTCACTTTCATTGTTAATAACTGACTCTCGGGACTCCTCCGGTTTTTACAGCAGATCATTTAACTATTCTTCCACAGTTTTCTTTCCTTTCTAGTAATTTTTTAAATCTAGTATTAAATGTTTTTTTTTGGCTTCACGTGTCTTTAGTACTGGGTTTGTCAGATGCCTCGTGGACACTTTTACCAGCTTTCAGTGGAGTTTGGGGGCTTGAATAACAGCAGTGGGACTGTGGTGCTTTTCCTCAGGAGGAGGAGGGCGTCAGCATGCTCCAGCAAGAGAAGAACATCCGCACGCAGGTGGAGGCCCTGATGAAGGAGAAGGCCCAGCGGATGCAGCAGCTGAAGGCTCTGCTGGAGCAGGACCAGGACCTGTGCGACATCCTGTGCTCCATGCCCTACGGCATCGCCCCGGACTCGGTGCCCTCCCCGGAGCAGCTGGAGGACTTCCAGCAGCACATCGCCAACCAGAACGCAGAGAAGGTCGGGGCCCCTCCTGTGCTTTGGGATCTGAAAAACTGGATTTTTCACACCCACACACGCTGACAAATGGGATGGTTTCTTCCTCCTAATGGCAGTTTTTTCCTCCCCTGTGTCTCCTAGTGCTGCTCTTGGTGGGAAGTGTTGTTCTGTAAATAATTCAGAGTCTGTCTGAGCTGCTCTGTTTGGAAAGCTGGGAGATTCCTGTTGTTGGGATTTGGCGCTAGATATATAAAATTTAATTGAATTGAACAAATGGGCTGGGGAAAAAATAAGGAGAAAATTCAAGAATGAGTTATTTTCTGAGTTTTGAAAATGCTGGGCAGTCCTCTGGGCTGGCTACGTTCCTTTGGAGGCTGAATCCAGAGGACCACAGCCCGTCTGGTCATCCTCGGCCTCCTTCTTACCGCCCACCTGCGCTCTGTTCCCTCTGCAGGCCAAGCGCCACGCCGAGTTCACGGAGCTGAAGAAGCAGATCGTTTTGGTGATGGAGGAGCTGGAGCACACCCCCGAGACCAGCTTCGAGCGGGACGTGGTCTGCGAGGACGAGGACTCCTTCTGCCTCTCCCGGGACAACGTGACGGCGCTCAAGCTGCTGCTGTGCCAGGCGAGCCCCCCCCCCCCCCCCCCCCCCCCCGCCCCCCCCCCCCCCTGAGCCCCGCCGCTAACCCACGCCGCTCTCTTCCAGCTGGAGGAGCGCAAGGCGGAGAACGAGGCGGCCTGCGAGAGCCAGCGGGAGAAGATCCAGCAGCTGTGGCAGCGGCTGCAGGTGCCCCAGGAGGAGCGGGCGCCCCTCGACCCGCACATGGTGGCGTCCAGGAAGAGGAACCTGGACGCGGTGAGCAGAACGAGGGGATGGAGGGGGGGGGGGCGGTCTCTTTTATTCCTGCATCAGCCCCGGTTACAGAGCGGTGGATCTCTGTGTTTCTCCCCCTCAGCTACAAGCAGAAGTGCAGCGTCTGGAGGAGCTCAAGCTGTCAAACATCCGCAGCGTGACGGACGCCATCCGCTCCGAGATCGCCGTCCTCTGGGAGAAGTGCTTCCTCGGGGCCGAGCAGCGGCAGGCCTTCACGCCGTATTTCAGCGGTCTGTGCTTCTGGATCCACGTGTCCGAGCGGGCTTAAACAGGAATTCCCTTCGGCTGACTGTGCACTCTGGCCCTTTCAGAGGATTTCACCGAGGAGCTGCTGGCCCTGCACGACGCGGAGATCCAGCGCCTCAGGCAGCACTACCAGGACCACCAGGAGCTGTTCGATGGCGTCCAGAGATGGGAGGACAACTGGAGGCTCTTCCTGGAGCTGGAGGTGAGGGAGCCAAGCCTCAGAATCAGAAATACTTTAATAATCCCAGAGGGAAATTATTTTTGTTACCAACTCCAGATATACAACAGCATATACATACCGTATATATATATATTTACAACATTCCACACAAATTATAGATAAATATATACATATGTAACTATATGTATATAAGCAGATCTAAAATAAGTGATAATGATAGTGTGAGAAGAATAAATAAATGCCAATAAATTAGTAAGAATTTACAGAGGGGGGGGGGTGTCTGACTCTCTGAGGGAGGCGTAGAGACTGATGGCCCCTGCTGGGCCAGTGTGTCATAGAGGTTTTAGTGAACTCACATGAATCGTAAGAAATGGCCGGAGACCTCTTAGGTTCCACATTCCTGTGATTTCTAAAATGGCAGCTGGGATCTCTGTGACACACTCAGAGAAGAGCTGCCGGTGTTGTCGGGGTGGAAGATTAGCTTTGGAAACATTACAAAATGCAAACTTTGCATGGAAGTTTTGGGAGTTAATGGGAAATATTGGCTAATTTAAAGGAACCCTATCATGTGTATCTATGAGCTACAGCAGACATTAAGGTTCAACAATGTAAAAAATAACTATCATAACTTCATAAATGCTTAATTGTCCCAGTGAACTTCTGCTGAAAACAATTTAACGTGAATTTAACATCACCTCACTGTGCTTTATTTTGTCCCTCCCTGTCCTCTCTAGAGAAAGGCAACGGATCCAGCCAGGTTCACCAACAGAGGAGGAAACCTCCTAAAAGAGGAGAAACAGAGATCCGAGCTGCATAAAAACCTGCCCAAGGTAAAAAGGCTCAACTCTTAATCAGCAGCAGGATTCTGATGGTAACTCCGACTCTGCTGTTTTGTTTTTTTCCTGTCTCGCCAAGTTGGAGAAGAAGCTGAAAGGCCAGATCGAGGCGTGGGAGGGGGAGCAGGGCCGGCAGTTCCTGGTGAACGGCCAGGAGTTCCTGCAGTACGTGGAGGAGCAGTGGGAGCTCCACCGGACCGAGAAGGAG